TTCGACAGTGAATTGCGTAGTTGTAACAAAAGTAACAGAGCGTCCATTCAGCCTGCACTAATCCAGATGGGAAAGTCAAACAGCAGAAAGTCCGTGGCACAAACTCATTTCATCACTTTATTAATTTAGATATTGCTTCCTCGCTCCTGTGGGGAGGGAAAAAAAAGAGCCCCTCTGAAATGACCAACATCGGTGAGGCGTTTTGCTCTACATGGTTCCCCCACTTCGTCTCTTCCTGTTATCTGTTTAATTCATCCCACCAATCTTGGCTGTCTTTACCCACTAAATTTCCCTTTGACACGCATGCCTTGCTTCGCATAATCCTCACTCAGGGGCAGAATTAAAAATGGAAAAAAGAGGAGGGAATAGGACAGGTGGCTTGGAGAATCCTTGAAATAATGTTGAATGCCAGACTCAGGAATGATTTAACTAGATTGGAGGCAGGCGGCTGATAGAGAGAGAGTTTCCCCCTGCCCTTTATATTTTGGAAGCAAGTTGTTGGAAAAGGGTGACAGGTGGAAAATGTGCAGAGACCGAGAAGTCTCTTTAGAGTCAGGTCGGGGAGTCGGCTCTAAATTGTGGTACCGGAATGACTTCTGAGGGAAAACTGTGGCAGAGAAGATGAAAATGTCAAAACGTCACTCTCCAGAGGTCTGATACGAAAAGTTTTCTTCTGAAGACTGAGAACTAGAACTGCTCACTTGTTTCATTTTCCTTGCTGCCTGTATCTATTACTGGAACCATTTTTTTACCATGAATATTGCAGATATGTTATCTGCTGTCTGTGGCAGCAAAAYGCTCACTCTCCACGTCCCTTATCAGCTTTATCTGACCTATCAGTGATGTGCCGAAGCAGTACTTGATACATGTAGGTGCAGCTGTGTGTGTGGCAACATGTCGTATCAGCCAGAGGGTGGAAAGTGTTATTTTGCAGATGAAAAAGTGCACGTTTATGTTGCTGATTTGATATGAACCACATAAAAGCAAGAAAGAGAACCTGAAGCATTCCTRCTGGAAAATACCRTATTCATTCATGTATAATACGATCTYAAGTRTAATACRATCATCATTTTTTGAGCTTACAAAKCGTAAAAATCKAATTAAAAATAACCTGTGTATAATACTATCCCCCCACTTTATGAATTATTTTTAGGGTTAAATTTCTAGTATTATACATGAATAAATACAGTAGTTTTCTGTGGTGAACTGCACTGCTGGCTGCTGCTGGGATTTTGAACATCTGTTGTGCTGAAAGGTTAACTGGTGGATCATAAGATCAAGTGCTTGTGACATGCATATCTCTCAAACAAAAAGCCAAAGAAAGCATCTTTATATTTGGTGCGATGCACACAATTTTACTCATTTTGTCACATAACTGGCATATTTTCTTTTGAATTTGGCCAAAATGACACAGGAAGTGACATCAAAAGGGAACTCTCTGGGCTTTGTTTATTGAAACATTATTTGAACTCTAACTCTTCATCTCTCTGAGAGTGACTCAAAATAATCTAAAGTAACATCAGATTTTTCTCTACAGTCTGTTAGCCATTGTTGCACTGCTCTGTTCACATGCAGACATTCCTCCTTCACATTACTTTCCATGCAAATATCTTAACTGTTCATCTTAACGTTGTGAAGTTTTTTTCCAACATGTTATCAATGTTATCTTTCCAAAACTGCATTCATATTTATTACAAAAAAATTATGTCACAGGCACTTTAAAGGCCTGGAATTCCAATGCTTATCACTCGTCACCTTTTGTGGCAAAGTTTTTAGACTAAGACCATCATAGGCTGAGAGGATTGTGGTGTTTTTGGTCAAACTTTGTAATTGATGAATAAAATGTACTTGTATGGCACCTTTCTATCTGACCAGGATACTCAAACAGCTTTACACTACAATCTGTGCCCTCATCCACTATACCCTTTCACACTGCACTCTGTCTCTCTACAAAGCTAATCTAGATACATCATTCTAYGGAGACTAGTCAGTCCTTAGAATCACAATCATACACTGATGGGACACACATCAGAGGCAGCGGGGTTCAGTGTTTTCAGTGGAACTCATCAACCTGTAACTGAATAGCATTGGAATCGAACCCCCAACACTATCATTGGAGAACAACACTTAGTTAGATTTCAGGAGATGTTAGCACAAGTGYGGAATGGTGTCAAACTTTAACTCAGTGTCTAAAAATTTGATTATAGTTATAGCTTTTATATATTATAGCTATATTTGCATCGACTAAGGCTGATTAGCTGTGGTGACGATTTCGAATTGGGGCAACTCCCAAAATAAATTAATAAAAGTTAATCAGTTGTAGCTGTACATCCAGTGCTTAGTTTCTTGRAAGTTTTAATATTCAATGAGATACAGTACATTGATAAAAGACAAACAGTGCTGATTGTATCAGTTCATCCCAAAGTTTTAGGCAAGGTTGTTGAGCAACATGTAGCCCTCAGAACACATGTTGTGACTTACTGTCAGCTAAAACTAGATCCAATATTAGCTGTAGAAYGGAATGAGTTGTAGCCCTTTTTTGTGTTTGCAAAGGCTGCTTTGCTGGGGCGGCCATCTTGAATTGGATTGCCTACAGAAGTTGGTGAATTTTGAATGTTCATTCTATGATTACTTTCTGAGAATTTCATTGGCATTATTTCCTGTAGTTTACGAGATATTGTACAAACACTAAAGACGAACAGCCATTTKCTGGTGGATTTTAACTTGTAGGTTTCAAAAGTGATTTCTGATTGATAGTGTTTTTTTACATGAAACAGCTGGAAGTTGAAAGAAYATAAATTTGTTGCTCAGATTAGGATGGATCTGTGACGATGAGGCTCTCRGTGTTCATGGAGCTCAGATCTACCGTGTGGCGGCTGCGCAGCGGATTGGACTGCGCAGTACGGCCGTGTCAGCAGCAGGAGTGTGGTCCTATTGATTGGGCTCTACAGGCTGAGACCAGCCAATTCAGAGCACCAGTGAGCCGARACCGATTGGGCCTCCTGAGTTACAAAATCCCACTGCTCTTCTTCTCTTCTCTGCCAAAAAATTTAAAAATAATAAAGCAAGTATTCATCAAAATATAGGCATTTTTATTATAAGAAACTTTAAAGTTTTTGTCTTGAAAAAAACAAATATATTGTAAAGGACTTATCTTTGCTGCTATTTGGTTTGATATAAACAAAAACAACTAGACTGAATATTTTGATGCTCAGAAATCAGAGCTGGTTATTAGGATCAAGATACATTTAAGATTGATGTAATTTGAATGACGTTGCTGCTGGGGGTATTCTTTTAGTTCTGTGATCTACCTTTCATAATGTTTTTGTTCATCTCTCTGTGTTTGTTATTCTTTAAGTATGTGACCTGGCTTTTGTTACCTTTAGGACTTTTTCTAGGATAAATCTAGTCAAGACCAATAGTCCTCATGGGGACCTAAGCCTGGTCCTACGTTGGGGGACAGAATTTTGGGTTAGGTTTAGGGTGATGTGAGGATGAGGCCATGAGTAATGACAAATTATGAGTAGAAATACAGCATTGTGTGTGTATGTGTGTGTGTGTGTGTGTGTGTATACATGGATACATGTTTTTGATACCTGGTGTGGACAATTTTTCCAGCACACACAGCCTTGATTGTTCCTTGTGGGGACAAAAGCTTTAAGGCTGGTTTTGGGTGGGGGGTTATGGTTAGGCATGTATTGTGGTGGTTAGGGTTAGGGCAAGGGATCATGATCCTAGATGGCCGCCACAGCAAAGGGGTCTTGRCAAACACAAAAATGGCTACACTTTATTGAATTACACAAATACCGAGCTGACATTTGTTGTGGTAGTACAGGGGTGAGCAATCCTGGTCCTTGAGGGCTGCAGCCCTGGATGTTTTACTTGTTTCTCTGCTTCAWCACACCTGRTTTGAATGAATGGGTGATTATCAGGCTTTTGCATAACTTGGAAAAGGTTATTCATTGACTGAATYGGGTGTGTTGGAGCAGGCAAAAAAGTAAAACATGCAGGGCTGCGATATCAAGGACTAGGATTGCCCACCTCTGTGGTAATAGCTGACGGTCAGTTACAAATAATATTGCATAAAATTGYCTATTTGCCTCATATAAATTTGCCTCATTACACTGCCAGGCCAAAAAAACGTTGACACCAAAAATAAGGTCACACACTCTAATATTTGGTTGGACCACCTTTAGCTTTGATTACTGCACACATTCTCKGTGGCATTGTTTGGATAAGCTTCTKCAGTGTCACAAGATKTATTTCCATCCAGTGTTGCGTTAATTTTTCACCCAAGATCTTGCATTGATGATGRTAGAGTCTGAACTTCTCCAGCACATCCCAGARATCCTCACTGGACTTTGTGGAGTCAATCCATGTGTGAAAATGATGTCTCATGCTCCCTGAAGCACTCTTTCACAATAAGAGCCCCATGAATCCTGGCATTGTCATCTTGGAATATGGCCRTGCCATCAGGGAAGAAAAAGTCCATTGATGGAATGACCTGGTCATTCAGTATATTCAGGTAGTCAGCTGACCTCATTCTTTGACCCACGCAGTAATTATCCAWTAGGAGGCTCGTACCTATTTGCTTAGTTAAATCCAGGTGGCGACTTTTATTTTTTTTGGTCAGGCAGTGTATTATTACCTTATTTTCATGGTTTGACCAAAAATGACACCATCATTTCTCAACATGGGATGATTGTAATTTTACATACAATTTGTTATACTTACTTAAATTTGAGTGTGGAAATGCAAAAAAAAACAACAACAAAAAAACCAAACAAAACAAAAATGTCTTCAGCAAATACAGAATGCATCTGTCATAAGAATAATCAGACATCAGACATACATAAGCAACAATATGTTGTTCATCAAATAAAGTATGTGGACATAGAAAGCAATCAGATGGACAGAAGCATGTCTCTACATTATTATAAATGTATCCGTATTTACTGTCCTGCTTTGTTTCAGTGTGTCTTTTTGTATTTGTTTTCCAGGTATGGGAAGCTGCTGCAATTCCACCAAAGCCGGCAGTTTTCAGCAGCTACAGGACTGAGCCGCATCCTGATCATCCTGGGAGTCGAGCCGAAGCTAAAAGTCAAAAATGCCTCAGAGGAAGTGATCCAGCGCCAGGTCAGACTCGAGTCCACCWACATCCTACAACTATGAACACCCACATGAATAACTGTTCAGAAAATAACAAAGGAAAAGGTGTTGTTTTACTTTCTTTTATTAAAACTGCTCTATAAGGTCACAGGTGATTCAAGGTTAAATAGTGATCATTGTAAAAATAAAATATAAACACACTTGAGCTTAGATCAGGCAGTTTCTTTATGTGAAAGAAGCAGYGATACACTGATGACAGTTTAAATAACTGTTCTTCCATCTTTCCTGTGCAGCCACTGGATGGTGCTAGTGCAGGAATAATCCCGCCTGCTCCTCAGCAGAGATAGGAGTGGGTGATGATTGCAGAAGCGTTTGTCTCCATACCGTCAAAGGCGGTGAATTTGGCTCGATATGACAGCACACGTCAGTTTTTGAATAAATGAAAATGGAAGCCGTTTTCCGGGGCTGACGTGATGCAGCAGAAGCACTGTGTCTTCTGATGCCTGCTATATAGTAAAGCTCAGCCTTTTGACAGGTCATACAGTTTGTGAGGACACGGCTGTTAATAAAAGCTACAAGCTTTCTCCTGCATGTTGCAAATTAGTTTTTTTTCCCCTTTGCTTTTTATGTTTGCACAGGCCCATATTCAGATCTGCTGTGAATCACACTTACAGTTGGGACATTTTTGCTTGTCATGAAGTCCTGTAGTCATTATTCACTCTCTGCTGGAAACAACTATGGCAGAGAAGTTTTAATAGATTCTGATGATGGAAAAACAACCAGTATCTTTGAAACATGGCAATGTTTTTTTTCTCTGTACACACCTTAGTTTACCAGAAAAATAAACGCTTTTGTGTACATTCAGAGCAAATGCAGTAAAATTATAGCGGGGGAATTAATACTGTAATGGTTTTGCTACATGTCCAGGGTGTACCCCACCCCTTGCACAGTGACTTCTGGATATGGGCACCAGTGACCCTGAAAGGAAGAAGCAGGTATTGGATGAATTAATACAGTGCCCCCCCCACCCTTAAATACAATTAATTGTCGTTATTTATTTATTTATTTTCATTTTTGATTTGCTACTCCTCCATAGCTTTGGAAAAAAACTCATACAAAAAAGCAAACAAATTGTCTGTTCAGATGTCAGAAAAATCGACATGATTCACAGTAAAATTTTTGTTCAGACTGGTCTGAAACAATTGGACATTTAAATATATTTAATGGTTTTTATACAATCACTGTTTAGGTTTTATTATTTTTTGGAGATTTTACTACAAAATGTTCAACTTAGTGTACAGATGTTACACTCTAACTTTTGAGCTCCCCTTTATCCTTCAAACCTTACGCTTCTTATACAGTTTATACATCAAAACATAGCGTTTTTGTCTTCTTTCACGCAGCGTGTCTCACTGCTTAACAGTTTAAGGGTTTGAGACACTAGATGGTGACTCAAACTACAAAAACACAAATTTTCAAATTTACCCTCACTGTTTTTTTAAGTGTTAGCAACCAAGTGACCAGCGAGTCGTGCCTTGGTTTGCATGGACAATAATAGAAAATCTTGGCTTACTTTTGTACAAAACTGTATTCTAGTTTGTGTACATTGCTCACACACCCACCTTGGCAGATGCCCCCACATTTATGATTCCATCTACTGAAATACACTTTTTGAAATGAAGATAGTTAGATTTAAACACATTTTTAAAATAATTGTTAAACCAGGACAGTTTTTCTACAGTTGAGATGGGTCGAAGACACCTGTGACAAAATTGAAAAGGTTAAAAATTAGTTGATCGTGCTCACAATGACTATCGTGAGAGAATATTTGTACAAACTTTAAAAAAAAATTAAAGTTAGCATCACTGCATCAGTGCACAATGGCTCAGTGTTTATCATTGATGCCTCCACAGCAAGAAGGTCCTGGGTTAAATCCCTGGTTCTAACCAGGGGTCTTTTTGTGTGGAGTTTGCATGTTTTCCTCGTTCTTGCATGGGTTTTCTCTGAGTACTGGAGTTTCCTCCCTCAGACAAAACAACATGCATGTTAAGTTACCTTCAGTTCAGACCCAGGCCTCACTTGCAAAAGAGATCTGGGATCTCAATGGAATTTGCCTGATTAAATAAAGGGTAATAAATAAACAAAAAAATTCAAGTAACAATATTATGAACCTCTGCAACTTGAACGAGGAAATTGAGAACCACCAAAAACATTTCACAAATGCCACAGTTGCATCCCAGAGAGATGCTGCAGACTGCTCTAAAATCCCCCAAGTCCTGTCTGTGGGTACTTTCATCATATCTGAGCTCAAATTTGGCGTTAAGAATATTTTTTTGTGGGAGTGGTATCTCCATGTAATCCAGAGGTCACAGGTTTGCATACATGTCAAGTTGTACGGATTGTAGATGCTATTATCTCTACCTCCCACCCCCCACCCMTCTATGTATCACATGAGATTAGCCTACTATGGATTTTTTGTGAAAATTACAGATTTCTGATGGTCAAGATATGGGAAAACATCAGACAGGGTTGACATGTTTGGGTCTGAATTCCCATACTGGCACAAAAAAAATTTGTTTGGGGAAGGTGGAGCACCCACACCTGCCTCCACCCTCATATCCATCACTGTGTGCCCTCGAGCAAGGCCCTTAACACCTAGCTGCTCCCCAGCCCTCTACTCCATACATACATGTGATGGGAAAAATGGAGAGAATATATATATATTTATAGAGTATATAAATCAAAAGCTTGCCACAGCTACTTAAACGCTGTAGACATTAAAAAATATATAATAAAATGTGACAACCTTACACTTCTTCCAAATGCAGTTCAGGAATTTGTACAAAAACTTCTTTGTAAGTTGTACTAACCAATTTCTTTTTTTTTCTTTTTTGTCACTAACCAATTTCTGCAGTAGTAGGAAGATTTTTATTTGATTCTTCTGTCTGCCTGTCTTGTTTTGAGCACTGTCAGGGAGTGAGAGACTATTGTGTGTTTAACAGTCACTCTATGAGTCACTGGCAGCAGCTTTAACATTTATTTTTGTCTTGGTTCTTTTAACACTTTGTACAGTTTAAACATGAAAATGTACATTTAGTGAGTTTAAATGTATTTATTTATAGTTAATATTTGTTGGAATTTCAGGTAATCGTTGCATTGTTACCCATAAATAAACACTTAACCTTTATTAGTCTTCTGAGACATTTTTCAGTCATCCATCCAGCATCCTAATTTCTTTTCCTGTTTGTTTGATGCGATGACATTTGCTCGGGTAAGAATGTTAACTGTTCGTTAAGACGTTTTTTTGTTTTCTGCTGCCAGCCACCCACGATTTGATGGCAGCAGTGATGAAGCCCATTTCAGCTTTTCAACTATTACAGTTGTTGCCAAGGAGATAAGGACATCATTGTGCTTGAATTCTCCAAGGACAGGCGGAAAGAAAATGCAGGGTTTTGTCGACAGGCTCGTGGTGGTTTTAATGTCCACACACAGTCAGAAGCATACCCAGGTCCAACAGAGCATGCAGTCCATTTCTCAAGGGCATGTTCTGTAAGCGCTGCCTAATTGAGCTGGAGCWGGATTGTTTGTTATTATGTCAATGGCACCAAAGCTATCTGGGCTCATCACATGTGGATGATGGATACAGTTAAAAGGAAATCTGCTCATTTCTTTTTCTGTGGTGTGGTGAACCCTCCCAGCCCTGAGCTTTCAGATTTCACGATATCAGTCTTTCTGCTCCTCGCAACAACTTGACACCAGTTTGACTGCAGCAGAAGAGGCTTCAAACAGCAACTGCCTGTGAGCGTGTTAGTAAAATGTTTCACAAACCAGTCCATGGATTTTATCGAAACTACAATTAAGTAACAAATGAATATCTGCAACAGATTAACTTCTGGAGTCAGTCCAATTACCACAGCCAGCTAAAATTATCAAACAGAAATGACTGAAACTTAACTTTTGTAGACATTTGGCTTTTTTCCTGTGTTAGTACCTGAGGATCTTCCCTTTGCCCCACTTACTGAGTGAAATATTTGCTTAATATTTTGGCACAACTATTTGTATTTTTGTGTTAACATAACATCTGATGAACTACTGAGCAGGTTGGTATGAATCTCTTGAAAAGTAATCATTGGACGTCTGTCCATCCATCCATCCATCCATCCATCCATCCATCCATCCATCCATCCATCCATCCATCCATCCATCCATCCATCCATCCATCCATCNGGTATAGTATTATTATTATTAGGGAAACTGCAATATCTATTAAATGTGATTATGTTGCTTAAATTGATGATTTTATGTAGATACATGCCTGAACATTTATTCCAGTCTCACAATAGCAATGAAGAAATTTATTGGGGTGTGTTTATATACTGATCTTAATTACACTACACATGGTATAGTATTATTATTATTAGGGAAACTGTAATATATGTTAAATGTGATTATGCTGCTTAAATTGATGATTTTATGTAGATACATGTCTGAACACTGATTCAACRCATAACTGAACTGTTAATCTTCATTAGGTTAGAATATAGGCGGAGTCATGTCCCGGKTGCCCATGTTAAATGGCACTGATGTCCTGTAAACGGGGCTGAACGCAGACTGAATAAACTGTCTTCAGCCAGAGCGCTCTTTGTATGATTGGTTGTATGCAACTCTTTGACATTCAGTTTCCATGTATTGGTACATTCTCAGTGTGTGTCAAGCTGGTAAACGAACACTCTTAACAATATTTTCTTTCACATTCGTCCGTCCATCCGTCCGTCCGTCCGTCCATCCATCCATCCATCTATCTATCCAACATCTTCACCTGCTTCTTCATTTACAGATGGCGGGGGAGGTGGTGCCTACCTCCTGCGGTCAGTATCTGAGGGACGGGCTACACTGGACAGGTTGAAGTCCATAGATCTACATCTACAACCGATTCATTTTTAGATTCACCCAAATTCAAGATGGCAGCCACAGTTAAGCAATGTTAGTGAACACAAAAATGGCTCTAAGTTGGGTAACTTATAGCCTGGCCCTTGCCTTCCTACGCAGCTCCGCTCAATTCTAGTTTCCCTTCACTGCTCCGTCTGGGACTTCTCCCGTTGAGATGGATTTCGCTGGCAGATTTTTAGCATGGCCGATCGGAGAACAGAACGCCAATTTTCTGCGCAGTGTCTGCTTGTAGTTTATTTTACCTGGGCCAATCAGCAAACAGAAGGACGAGTTTTGAATGACATTGATGTTCTGCGCAGTGTCTGCTAGTTATTTTAGCATACGGCAGTGGAGGAAGTGAATGAAGCCAGTCTGTGTTGATAAGGCTTCCAAATTAAATTAAATTTGTCTGACAAAGCAGCAGCTCTCATTTACAGTCGTCTCGTTCGGCTCGGTACTTCTCTCCTCTCAGTAGGGTTGTTTACAGCACACGAGATTTCCGGTTAGCTTCTTAGCTTAGCCTCCGTCACAGCGACATACGTCGAAGCCAACTGATCCAATCATTTTAAACTTCAGCAGAGGCCACGCCTCCTTCACGAATCACTTCACTATGCATCAAGTCCAGACCCTTGTACAAAGTAAAGTGAAGGACAAGGGTCTGGTTTTAACCAGGCTACGTAACTCATAGATAATCAACTAAAATGCAATAGAAATCTGGTATAATTCTCAGTTACACCCTATAGTCTAAATGCTAATAGATCTCATAATTCGATGAGTTTGTGCAGGATGTCATTTACAGGGTTTAGGCAGGTGTGCTGCCGGGGGAAATGAATATGATGTCTGTATTTATCAACGTGTTGGAACTTTGTTCAGTTTGTAATCTTCCTATGTGTTTTGACTTATATAAAATTCTGAATTATTATTTTTTTGTGTCTTTGCCTCCGTCAGAGGTACCTCCTCTGTAACCCCGCCCACCAGAGCAGTGCTGTAGATGAGTATTACTTCATGAATGAAAGTGCAGCTCAAGTAAGGTATTTAAAACATGCACGTTTCAGCCTTTATTACAAGTCAAACTCAAAGAAACATTGCATTTTTGCTTTAAATAATCATGTCGTTTTGTGTTTCTAAAGGGATATAAAAACATTTAAACCCCTTTCTGGCAAGATTTCAGTGAGTGTCTTCACTGGGGATTCCTTTGATGAGGAAATGCCAGAGCACCTAAACCAGGTGAGTGTCTTTATTTCATACTTCAGYAGTAAGTCCCATCACCGTTTCAACAATGCTCCAGTAACGTTATAAATCATTTTCTCCCTGCACCAGATGGTGACTGAACATCAAAAGAGGTTCCTGAAGGAATCCTACCCATCAGCCAATCATGTTCACATAAAAAGAGCAGACCAGCAAATGATCTACAACAAGCCATCTGCCATCAGCCAGCACCTGTGGAAGCTGGTGAGCCAGCGACAAGCCAGACCGCAGAGCGAGTGACCCGTGGCCAGAAAGGAGGGACGCCCCGGACACGGGGTCGAGTGATAATCAAATAGGTTTTAAATATTCAATAAAATGTTCCGCCTATCTTTTTTTACCTTTCTGCACGGCAGTTTGTGGAGATTGTCTAGGTGTCTGCTGAGGTTCATCAGAAAGTCAATTTCAGAACATGTTTTTGCTCAGCTCTGTCTCATTGGAAGCTTTTTAATTGAAGATAACTGGGGGGTAGTCAATGTGATGAAATATTTTCTGTCTTAGATTCATCTTATCTTTCAAGTTGTTATTTCAGGCTCTTTGCCAGATTGGCCAGTGCCAAAATTTAATACATTATTCCTTATCAAGGTAAAAGGCCACACAGACACACACATCACTGCTCAACTCAATACTTTTATCTCATTCAGTTCTGTCTTAATATTTTGCCACATTAGAGCTAAACATTAAGGTACTTTGGATTATTTTTGCTCCATTTCATTACTTTTCTTTGTATCTAGCTTGTAATTGAGTTTCAACCAGATGTGGAATTCCGTTTTGGTCTTTTGCAAATTGAAAGTAAATTAATTTTTTTTCAAAAAACAAATGTTTTAGTGGTTATTGTCGGATCTAGAGTCCAGGAACCTTCACAGTCAACATTGTCATTGTTGTTCAGAATGACAAAACATAATAAAAAAATAAAAAACGTAATGAAAGTCATTACTGTGTTGTAAAACATGCATAACTTAATTTTTTTTGTTACTATATAAAATTGAAGATTTACTATAAATAGTTGGCATCTGTTATAGGATGAAGAAAAAGACCAAACTGTTATGCAGAGGGGGAAAACATTTTTTTTAACTCCCTTTGATAAAATATAAACTGTGAACTGTGCAGCCTCTGTCAGTTCTTACTGTTTATGTAAAATAATTATAAGTATCAAATAAATATAAAAACATTTACTTCCTAATGAATCATTAGTGAGCATAAAATATTCAATGTTTATTTGTGTCTCGTTCCCTTTAATAACGACAGATACTTTTATTTTTAATCCAAAACAAGTCTTTGTATTTTCATGACTTATGTGTACTCAGATCAACTTCCAAACAAGTTAGAGGTGAACATCAGAGCGTGCATAGTCGCTATTTGAGCCGAAGTGGACAGAAAAGACAGCAGAGAGGGACACCACTGTCAAAAGCAAAACTGGAACTATTTGGTAACAACTCACATGAGCTCTATGTTCTCAGACCCAAAAATGACGCATAAAAAAACTACCTAAGGGTACTAGGTGATTTGAATCTATGCAGGGTAAAATGAAATCTCAAGACTATGAAGGCTATCAAAGACTATCAAGGCCTTCTWAAGTAAAATGTGCTGCCCAGTGACAGAAAGCTTGGTCTAAGCTGCAGGTCATGGGTCTGCCAACAGGATAATGACCCAAAACACAGTTAAAAACATCTCAGCATGGCTCAGAACCAAACACTGGACTATCATGTAGAGGTCTGAGCCTTGATCGAAATCCTCTTGTGGAAGGAGCTGAAACCTGATGTGTGGAGACGGAACCCTTTCAACCTGAGACAGCTGGAGCAGTTTGCTCACAAGAAGTGAGCCAGAATACCTGTGGGCAGGTGCAGAAGTCTCAGAGTTACAGATATCGCTTAATTTCAGTGATTGCCTCAAACGAAGAAAATTGTGCTTACTTTCTGTCTGCTTCTTTATAAATTGACCCACTTTACCACAGACTGAATTTGCATAATAGGCTGTTCAAACAATTCGATTGGTTGTTTTCTTTTGATTGACACTTTTTTTGACCAACTGGATCTATAGACTATCTATAGACTCTCCAGAGCCCAAAATGTGTGGCAAGCCCCTCATGTCCCACCCGTACATGGTAAACATGAATGATTGACTAGAATCGACCAATCAGCGCTAAGCTTTATTCTGACACCAAAGCTGTGTAGCCAATCAAGTTACCTTTCATTCGATATGCAGCTTTGGAAATGATAAAAAAGGGAATAATTGTTACAGCACTTACATAAATTCTCTCTCTGCTTTTGTCACAGTGTTTTTGTCTCTCACTCTGGGTTAGGGTTAGGCCCGTAGGTTGACAGGTTAAGAGTACCATCCTCTGGTCAAGGCAGTCTTAAACTATTTCTGCTGAACCAAAATTCCAAAGCAATTTCTGATTTTATTGAAGTTATTTTAGTGACGTTTGTAGATTTTTCTCTCTTTAACTAAAGGGTACAAACAGATCTGTCTTCATACTGATATGTTTGTATGCACGATTTTGTAAAAAGAAAAAACAAAAGCAGAGACCAGTGGTTCATCCTGAGGATTTAAGTTTAATTATGACACCACATTAAAATAAAAATTTCCAACAGATCTGGAATTTAATTCCATCCATATACATGCATAGCAACAACGTTTAAGAAACATTTTCTCCCATAATCAGGACATTGGAATGATCATTTTACATCAGTACCCCTACTGACCTCCCACCCAGCTTGTTCATCAGCAATAAATTTAATTCTTGTACAGCTTTCCTTTTTTTTCTCCCTGCGGGGTTACAAATAATTATATGCACAGTCCCCATTTAATAATACTGCTTTCAGTAATGTTCCCTTTTACAAAGTATTGCATTGAGAGCAAATTTCAAAAAGGGAGAACAAAGTGTATCATCAAACAGAAATACGAGTACTATACAAGAATGTCGTCTTCCTCATGAAAACATCCACATCTGAGTTGAACAAAAGAGACGGGGACAAACAGCCACATATGTATGCAAAGCCATGTATATATATGCCAAAATGTGAGATGCAGGCTTGTGCCTGGAAATCACTGTTAAATAGTGATTTGTAAGGCGAACAAGTCATTAGTAGGAATCTGCAGGAGACATTTTGAGCATACAGAAACTGGTACAGCAAATAAGAATACACAAGTGCCTCAGTAGCTATTTTTGTGTCTAAAATGCATCTCGTTTTTGTATTGTTTATTGTTTCGTTGAGCCTACAATACAGTGTAAACAATATGTGTGCTACACAAGAATGACTATACAATAACATTACAAACAACTCTGATATAAATTTCCTTTTGAATTTAAATTAAGATCACTACTYCTAATAATACTGATTGTAAAATAAATTAATGTGAACGTGGCACCAATATTATTCTTGATTCGTTTTTCTTTTTTTTCTTTTTGAAACCAATGGTTTTGCATTTTAAGTCTTAAAACGATGAAAGAAGAAGCTTCTCTTGATTGTCCACAAGCAGCGTTCAGCACTGCATGATGCACTATTCCAGACACAACAGTGTACCAAAACAAAGGAGAAAAAGGAGTCAAAGTCTGAAGGAAACGTCTGGTAAAGGAGAAGAAGAGCAAGTCCGTTTTTTTTCCTTCTTCTTCTCGACTTATTTCACATGCTCTGCAGCATGTGATGAACAGTAAAACTTCTTATGGGTAATAAAGTTTGATAGATTGTTGAACTGGATGTCACAGAGGCGGCAGTATTTGCCGCTTCCGTTGCCGTTCACACCTTTGTTGGCAGCGGGCGCCGCCTCCTCATTGGGCGACTTTGACGGGGGTGACATGTTCTCGTTGGAGTCGGCCTGGTTTTCGGTGGCCCACGTGGGTGAAGGGTTGGAGGGCTGGCTCTCTGTCTGGGGTTGGTTCTCCTGCTGTGGTGGGGCTGTGCCCGAACGCTCCTCTGGCTTGTGCCCTCCGTTAACAATGACCATGCCTCGGTTTTTGGGCAGAAGGGGAAGGGGTTCCTTTCCGGGATGGGGGCAGCCGTTTGCAGCTGGCTGCGGAGTCTGCTCTCTAGCTGCTCCTGTCTCTCCTCCTCCGTTAACACTCTGTTCCTGTTGTTCAGCCTCTCCCTGCATTACAGGACCCCCGGTCACATAATCGGTTGGCTTTATCCCAAAATACGGTGATATTTGCTCAGGACCTTTCACCTTTTTTATTGCTCCAGGATAAAGGCAGTGAGGCAGAAACATATTTTTGTTCTCGTCTTTTGATGGGATGAGCTGGGGCTCAGGAAAAGGCTTAAGTCCTGGCACAGGCCCCAGGTGARGGGGGAACATGCCTCCATTCTGCACCATCACCTTCCCATTCCCATTCTTCTCACATTTGCCAGGGCTCTTATCGTAGCCATCATCAGGACTGTTATTGGCTTCGCTCTTCACATCTGGGAACACGTTGGACTCCAGGTTGCCGCTCTCGCTGTGTTGCTGCTGTTGTTGCGGTTGCTGTTGTTGTTGTTGAGCAGCAGCAGCAGCCGCCGCGGCTGCTGTTGCAGGACAAAAGTTCTGTTTGTGTGCCAGGTAGTTCTCCACTTTGTTAAAACTTATCTTGCACACTGCACATTCGTGATAGTCTAAAAGTCTTTTGGGAGAACTACACGTCTTGTCAGAGACCGGTGAGCATTTTTTGCTGAGATCGATTGGTGCGTCCAGCTCCTGTTGCTCCACTGTGTTGCATTTAGGAGTCAGGATAGGTTTAGTGACAGTCAGAGAGGCCTCCAGGTGTTTGGGTACCATCCCAGGGAAGATATCACAGCGCGGGTGGAAGCGGTCAGCGAGGTTCTCCACAGCGTCTTGAGACGTACAAGGGTTTAAAGGAGGAACTCCAAGAAAACCAGGCTGAGCCAGGGGGGGCCTTTGGTGGTCCTGATCAGGGAGACACATTTCATACATCTTCCTGCGCTTGCGGGTTCTCATGGTCCTCTGCATGGAGGGAACCTTGTTGGTGGACATACGTTTCATGGGTGGATCGTGGCGAGTGGCACAATAGTACTGCTTGTGGACCATATAAGTCTCGTGGCGGCTGAAGGTGATGTTGCAGGCTTCACAGGTCGTCTTGGTGGGATCATTATCACTTTCCGCTAAACCTGTACTTGGGCTTTTCCCCTCCATCTGCTTCCCATTGAGCCTGTCCTCAGCTCCAGTCGGGGTGGAGACCTTCTTCACCTGTCCTGCTAGATCCTTATCAGGCCCTTTAGCCCCAGCGCTGATCATGTCCAGCACATTGGAGTTCAGGCAAGCAGACTGCATGAGGTGGCCGTCAGCCTCTGTTGGGTGGCAGCCGGCCAACAAGTTGACAGAACTGTGCCCGCTGTTAGGGCTCACGGCTTCAGGAACCTTATCTGAGAGTGCAGAGAAGTCAGGAGACTTTGCCATGTGCTGCCAGCGGCTGTTACAGTAGTGCTTTTTATGGACTAGATAGTTGTCCAGGTTGCTGAAGGTGATATTGCATTCAAAACAGGTGGCCCCTTTGGGCATCAGAGGGCTGTAGATGACAGGAGGGTAGCTGTTCCCTCCGTGGCGGAGCCTCCGATGAACTAGCTCTGACATTTTTGCCAGAATCTCTGAAGCCTGCGGGACGACAGAAATGTCTTGGGAGAAGGCAAACTGAGACAAGAAGGGGCCCATGGGAAATGTAGGCATGTTATGCTGCACTGGGGAGGAGGCCAGTCGGGGGCTGGAGGGCTCAGATTTGATTCTAGTGTAGGAAAAACTGGCTTTGCTGCCTGGGTGGGCCTCTCCTTTCTGAGCAGTCAGCATGGGCTTCTTTTCAGCCTTTTCAGCCTCTCCGTCTGTGCTGGTCTCCTTGCTGAGGGCTCCTTTAGGACTCCCCAGCAGAGCATCCTTCCTGTTGGCCAGCTCAGTGCGGGCCTGCTGCTGCTGCTGCTGCTGCTGCTGCTGGAGGCTCTCCTCAGGCCCCCTGGGGGAATGCTCAGTGCCGTCGCCTTCCCTGTGAAGTTTGTTGCCGTGCCCATGTAAGTCCTGATGCTGTAAGAGTTCCCTGTGGCTCTGGAAGCTGATATGGCAGTGATTGCATCTAAAGGCCGCCTGTGACAGGTGAGACATGATGTGATGTTGGAATGTAATAAGAGAATCTGCCGTGTAGTTACAGATTGTGCATTTCAAGCTGGTGCCAGGAGGGAGGCTCTCTTCCATTTTGACACCTGTGAGGGAGATAAAAAGAAAAAAATGCTCAGAATCTCGTCTCCCTCTTCTCCTTTGGAGTTAACTGTAGAAACCATCAAACACTCAAGCATTATGCCAAGCTTATTCCCATCCACTTGATTTTTTTTTTTTTTGCTCAAGGATAAACTGTCAACTTTGCGAGCTGACAGCAGGATATGTATATTTCTCCAAAGACACAACAGTCATTTTTAAAATATGCTTCTTTGTTATGTTTTTCTAAAGCATTTTCATTTAAAATTTAAAACACCTGCTTCCATAACGTATGGCATATAAAAAATGCAAAAAAAAAATCACATTTCTTCTGACCTTTTTTTTCATGATTTGGTCACTCACCACTGTGTGAGGTGCCTAAATGCATTTCCAGGGCCCTGGCTCCAGAGAAGCTCTTGTTGCACTGAGGGAAGGGGCAAATACTGGGAGTTTGGTGGGGTCCATTATCACTGTCCTCCACCACCGTCTCAGGTTCCCTCTGCCGCCCGCTGCAGTAGTACATGAGATGGGCCTGCAGGTTCCTCTCGCTCCGGAACCAGATTCCACATGCCTTGCAGGGGAAGATGTCCTCTGAGGAGAGACAAAAAGGGACAAAGGGGACATTATATCAGGATCCAAACGGTACTTTCATTTGTAAGTATACAGATATAAAGCTTGCACACACACAAACAATCTCCTCCAGTTGTGACTCTCAAAGCCTGCATTAAAAGGCTTTTCCACCAAATCCTCAGCTGCAGCCTATCTCTGCACCGCTACCACTGGGTTGGTACCCTTTCTCAAGGGCAAACAAGAACACTGGACCATCTGCTTACAGAAGCCTCCCTGTCGAGCTGAACCCAGATAGCCCTTGCAAAGTAAACAAACACACTATTTGCATGAGGCGTATATTTTGCAATTAACACTTTAGTTTGAGCCTCAGTGTGTTTATATGAACCCAAAACTTGAAGGTTGATGGCTCTTATCTCCAGTGCAGAGACTCATCTGGGTTAATCTGAGCCTGCTGGAAGCAGCACTCCTTGTTAAGCAGGTGACTGAGTGCAGGCTGTGGACCCGTGCTTGTGCGTGAGACAGGATGGAAGACTCGCATGTCTAAACAGAAAGCATTCCAGTTCTGCAAACACTCACTGTTGACGATGGCGGTGGGGAGGATGGACGCCATGGCGGCCTGCTGTGGCAGCAGCTGGATGCTGTCCAACAGCCGGGCCGGGTACATGCCCTCGCTCAGAGACATGTGGTTCACCGCCTGCAGACGGGAGTCGAAGTCCACCGCAAACGCCACCAGCTCCTCGCCCTCCATCATGTTCTTGGTGGTGGTGCACCACAGCTGGCCACCTGGAGAAAACAAAGATGGTCGTTTAAACATTTGCTGGTTGTCCCGAGTGAGGGCGTGAATGGTTGTTTGTCTGGTTTGTCTCTATGTGACCCTGTGATGGACTGGTGACCTGTGCAGGACGCTGCTCTCACAGTGACTGCTGGAGACAGCTGCTCCATGAGCCAGAAAAGGAAAGCAGATAAGATGGATGGATGATGAACGAACGGATGGATGAATGGGCGAATGGAGGATTGCACTCTGGCAAAATATGCAGGGCTTTATATGTATTCCTTCAGGGAATGCTGAGTCCTAAATTTTAAGTTTTTTTTCATATTTACTTTAAACAAACTTGTGCATTTTCAGTTCATTGTTTTCTAAAGTACAACTTTGATATCAACCAAATTTTTGGCACATTTTAAACATTGACATAAGTTACTGGGAGATAAAATGATGCTGGCAATTAAAAAGAATAAAACTATTTAGCAAAATTGGACATAACCAAGTCAATAATTAGATTTTTCTCTTTGGTATATTGGGTAAATTATTTCAGCTGAATGGCTTATATGAACTGTAACCAAAATTAAACTTAATTGTGGTAAAAAATATCTGMTTTCTTGGTAAGACAGCAATTTGGAATTTGATTTTTCCAGGAAAACAAGGCAGAATTGTGTGATTTTGTGGGGTTGATTTTGCAATTTTAGTATGTGAAAAAAATACATTTTTTTCTTTTTGCTCTCACTCAAATGTCTGTTAAAGCACTAGCACTCATCCAGCGGCAAAGTTTTACCTCAGCCGCAGAAAACAGTTTCCTAAAGTCCTGTTGTCAGCTACAACACAGACAGGTCCTCTGCGTTATAAGATTGTTGTGTTTTGGGATTAAGCATTCCTCTGAAATCTTCTGAACATTTTCATTAAGTCAGAGAAAGAGGGAGTGGAGGCAGGCAGGAGGAGGGGGGGGGGGGTAAAAGAAGAGAGTGAAGGTTTTAGCTCCGATAAAATTTATCTCAGCACATGACAGGCTTTTCAGCTGCACTTCATTTTCCATTGAAGAGATTAAAGTTTTTAATATGACTATTTACAGAAATCTGGCTGCGGAGATAACAACAAACTATGATACGCTCGTGCTAAATGGCAGAATTAGGACATTGTTTCTGAGAAAGGCTGGACAATTAATTAAAGCACGCTGTTGGTTTTCAAAGATGTGCAAACATACCGACAGAGCGTCAGGCTGAGAGGGGACGTGTGATTTGAGGCCTGGCTGATGTGGAATAAAGAGAGTCCTGAGGAGAGGAGTGAATGAGGCACGGGGGTGGTGGTGGGGGGGGTGCACTGCTGGAGAGCCCCCACACATGTGGAACACTGATTACTCATGTTTACATAAAATGTCTGAATCACCAGGTTTAAAATCTGCCCTGTAGACATTGTGAAGGTGTGTGAGCAGAGGGTCTGAGTCGAAACAATCCTTGTTTCTTGTTATTAAGAATGAACAATCATTGAAACGCCATTGTTTTACACAACCACATACTGCAACTGTTAACTATACAAATATATTCAAATAATAAATTATCACTTACAATTTTTTTTCCAAGGAAAAACCAATTTTGAAGTCATGGAATGTAGTAAAAACATGCCACACATTATAACATTTGAAATGCATCCCACTTTACATTTTGAATTACAACATATCTAATAATTAAAAAAAAAAGAAAATATCTGTACAGCCCCACACAGCTCAGACAGAAGAGAAAAGCCACATGTTTGACACGTCTTGATAATTAAAGGCACTTTCATTGAGTCTGAACAAGCTGCAAACATTAGCATTAGCCTCGATTAGCCTGCTGCTCAGGCTGCAATGCATTATGGTCTGTTTCCATCATCTGCACGCTATTTTTACTGAAACGTGTGGCAGATGTCTAGGGAACTATACAGGGTGTATCAGAAAAAAATGACACTCTCAGAAAAATCGCTTCACGCTCCAGTGAGCAGGGACAGTTGGAAATTCACAAAATTCATGTCCTTTGCGCAAGGAAATGTGAGGGTTAAAATACGATCTAAAAGTTTAGATGGTGTTTTACATGCATGTCATGTCCTAACGTCGAAACAAAAATTTCCCACTTTTGAATGAATCATAACCAAGGGTTAACAAACATGTGAAGTGGCCGTGGACAAGTCGGTCCAGTCAACTAGCATTACATGTAATGTACTGTACACATTACATGTACATGTACATGTACATGTACATGTATTCAGTGGGTATTACATGTAATTATTCCATAACCTGGTACAAGATCGTGTGGTCATTTTCTTTCATTAAAACATCATGATCACAAACATCACCTTATCTTATCTTATGCAGACAATTGCATAATTCCTGGACATAAAACCTGTCAGTACCTGTGCAGTTGTCTCTYTTCCTGCCTCAGCCTGTGTGGTGTAAAATGGCCCGACCACAGTTCACCGCTCAGCTGAGGTCTTTCCTGTTTCCTAAAGTGTTCGCACTGTCCTTGAGCAGTTCCAACATGAGTTTCCAAATGTTAGGGTTCTCGTGCTTCTCCAGCATGTTGCTCTTTGAAGAGGGTTCTGACTGCTTCAATGTTGGCTGGTGTGCKTTGGGTCCTTTGTTGGCCGGACCTCCCTTTGTCGAGATTGTAGCTGGTCCCAGAAGCACGGTACTTGTRAACGTTGCGGAAGACAGTGAGACGGCTCAGAACAATTGTTGCAATTGTCTGCATACGATAAGGTGATGTTTGTGAAACAGAATGATCCCCTCTACCAAAGGTTATGCACACATTTTCAAAATTATTATCTATGTTAAATTTATGGCAATTTTTCTGAGAGTATCATTTTTTCTGATATACACTGTATAGTCGATGAAAAATGTAAAAAATCAAACAGCACTGCATAATGACTGAGTCACAATACAGAGCATTATACTGTAGGAAATGGGGGATCATACAGGCTTTCCGTGGTTTTTGCGTATACATTAAATTTCTGACATGACCACACCTGTTTTTGTACTTTTTGTTGCTGCTGTTGTAAATTTTTTTAAGTACCAAACATCTCTCTGCTTAATAAAGTCATCTATCTGTCTAACTATATTAAGACTATGATGATGATGATGTCACACACTTACCTTTAGAGCTGTCTAAACTTTACCAAATTTTTGCTAACATACGCCTATTCACGCAAACTTTAAAATTCTCACAGAGTTTATATGTAGGATTTTTTTCCTTTTTTCACACAGTTTCTCTCACTGAGGGCAGAGTGCCCATCTAAACTCTCTTATAGAAACATACAGTAAAAACTGCCATCTGTGATTGCCTGATGCTTCTGCCGCATATGATTCAGGATTTTATTCCTGTACATTTTGTTAAGTGACTCCAGACTTAATCATCTTCATCTATCTTAATCTGACCGCAGTTTTATACACTGCTTATCATAACATTCTAGATTAGCTTCTGTTGGCATCACTAACACATCCTTTAACTGGTTTAAATCTTATTTTTGGTCACACTCAAAGTTGGACCAATCTAAGCCATTCCCAGTCACTACTGGTGTTCCACAAGGCTCATCCTTCGGCCACTTTTATTCATCTTATATCTATTTCTTTTATGACCTTGGATGTTCTGAAACGTGCTTATAAAAATATAGTTAATCACATTAGTGACTTTTTTTCTAAAGCTTAGTATTTTAGAAATTAGGACATTTGTTTCTGTCTGCCTGTCCTATCTCTATAATGTTGGAAAAATGAGAGGTTTAGGTGTGAGTTTACCACAGTGACCCAGTGTTTTAAAAACTGATGCATTTTGTTATCTTAGCAAAGATAAATTCCCATTTTAGTGTTGGGCTCTATGGAAGGAAGTTGATGGATGTTGGAATTTCAGTCTGTAGTTGTTGTAAAAACAGGTAATGTTTCTTCATTGGATCACACATTATAGATTCATTATGTATCAAACAGTCTTTTTTATTTTCCTCATGACACAAATTTAAAAAAAAATGAACATTTCCAGTTTTCAAACAGTTTCCTGATTAAAACCTTTCTAGTCTTTACTGTCTGCTGGTGACTCACTCAAAATTAGACCAGCACAAACATGTCAATGAAGTGAAATGGTATTAAAATACGCTATCTTTCGTAGTCCCATTTGTGTGTGTGTGTGTGTGTGTGTGTGTGTGTGTGTGCGCGTGCCCACATCAGCATGTCAGCACCACTTTAAAGAGCAGAACCTATCTGTCGGCCAATCTGCTGTGACGACACAACACTTCAGGCTGCTCTGCTTCATCGTTTTGATTCTGTCATACCACACGCAGCCTGGAGAGACCCTTTGAATTTTTATCGCCTAATTAAAATAACAAAACTCCTCTCCTCTGTCTGCTGAACTCACCGTCAAGGTAGATACAAACTGCCACCGACAATGGTGGGGACTATATCGTGGTCACAGATACAAAAGTTTTTTCCCCTCCTCTCTTACAGCAGTTCAGACGCGCTCGGCTTACAAAGAGAATTAAGGAGTGGGCATTTTTACACGCAGATACACATCCGTCCTGTTTGAATCAATCCATATCAAAGATTCTCTGTGCTCTCCTCAGCTGAAACAGAGTAGAATACGTCCAGTCTGATGAGAATGTTTAGCTGTATTTTAAGCCAAGAATGCCACAGATCCATCTGTTGGGACTGAGAAGGCTGGATGTGGGTTTATGTCCCAGTTTTACTGAGCAATGTAAAACACTGAGGCAGTACTGTGCTGGTTACAGGGACAAAATCAGTTGTATGATGCATATCAAGGCTTCTATGAGTTTTACATTCATTCCAGTTAGAAATGAGAAATGTTTAATGGAATCTTGCAGATTAAAGGAGACATTTGATGCTTTTAAAWCCTTATTTTTTTCACATTTAAATCCTTCAGTTGGGGTCTATAAGAAGTGGAACTGCACTGCTTTGGTCTGAATTCCTCCTTRCTGTAACTCCACAAGCCCCCTCTTTCACCTCTTTTCTGAGGTTTGTGTCATATTTACTTGCTTT